TTTCTAGGTCGGGTAGAATCTGTGATCTCTGACCCAATACGTTCACTGGCATCCATGACCGCAATTCACTGCCTTTTCCGCCAACTGGCAACTCAGTGCATTGAAATACTAATGGGTAAATTGTCAGTGGGCGGAGTCACACATACCAAAACAAAAACAGACATTCTGACACAGAACGCACATTTCAAAGCAGAATAACTGGCTGCAGCATTGTTTATCATAGAAAGAAATATGTGAACTTAGCATGTTTCCTAAACATCTTCAAACATATCACAGTATTTTTTGCTTTGGCACAGTCAAAGTAATTACATACAGCAGCTTTAAAAACAACTTGAGCAGCAACCGCTGCTGAGCTTTTGTTGAGCTTTATTCTTCACAGCTCCTCAATAATGATCCGTGCAGCACAAAACAATGACAAACGTAAATGTGAAAACGACTGAACTGTTTAATCTGCTGTCCTGCCGTGACTTCAACAGCATCATAACTATGAATAAACTCCTGCAGATGTTCAAACACTCATAAATCATTGTACACGTGTACCGAACGCTGTCTGACATCATTCACAACTCACAAACCCCGCGGCGCAAACATCTGCAGTCCTCTTCTGCTGCGCTCGTTTCATGCGTTATTATGTTGCATGTGTTTAGGACTCAGAGTAATGTGTGTGCAGTTTATTATATCATCTCTAGCAGCTGATCATAAAGCACTCTTTAATTACAGACAGAAGCAGCAGCATTAAAGCAGGATTACTGAGCTGCTCGTCCCATTATAACTCAAGCACTGGACTCAAAAACATTCATTCACACGCCAGCGCTGCTGAGAGAGCGCACTCACTGGAGTATGATCTCTGATCTCTGCTCACTACAGCAAACACTCACAGTTTACATTAACAGTACGTAATGCATTAGCCAACAACGGAGCAATGCATTTGTTACATTATGCATCTTTCTTAATGTTAATTAATAAAAACACAGCTGTTCAATGCTCTGATTCCTCGCCATAAAACCCAAGAGAACATCTGAAAAGGAGACGCAGAGACAGAAAGCGAGTCAGATCAGAGGCATTTCACTTCAGATGTCACTCTGTGATGTTCTTAAAGTAATATCACATGTTGTGAGAAAATGGGAAGGTGGAACACATCAGCTGATGTGATTAATAATGCATACAGATTTATGCTTTATACGTTAATTCGCCCTGTACGTTCACTGTTTATGTAACGGTTGTTTTATTGTTTTTAATTCGTACAGTAAGACGACTGCAAATGGTTCAACAATGACTTTGTTCAGCGGCTCATCCTCAGATCATCCAAGATGTAGATGAGAGTTTGCACATGACTTTCTTTATGTTTAAGCTGAATGTGTAAAAATAATAAACTGTCATTTGAGCTTTTTAGATGGATGGCGAGGCTTTCTAGGTCGGGTAGAATCTGTGATCTCTGACCCAATACGTTCACTGGCATCCATGACCGCAATTCACTGCCTTTTCCGCCAACTGGCAACTCAGTGCATTGAAATACTAATGGGTAAATTGTCAGTGGGCGGAGTCACACATACCAAAACAAAAACAGACATTCTGACACAGAACGCACATTTCAAAGCAGAATAACTGGCTGCAGCATTGTTTATCATAGAAAGAAATATGTGAACTTAGCATGTTTCCTAAACATCTTCAAACATATCACAGTATTTTTTGCTTTGGCACAGTCAAAGTAATTACATACAGCAGCTTTAAAAACAACTTGAGCAGCAACCGCTGCTGAGCTTTTGTTGAGCTTTATTCTTCACAGCTCCTCAATAATGATCCGTGCAGCACAAAACAATGA